TGGGATAGCTCCCGGAGGCCAATACCATCGAATTGCGGCCACACTATTCCTAATTCGAAATGTTAAAATCGATTTTGGCGCTACTCCGCTCGTCGGGGTGGAGTACAGAAATCGATTTAAAGGGCCCTTTACATCTAAATAAATAGCGTCGTTGTGTGGACGGTTGCAGGGTAAATTCAAATTAAAGCTGATAAATCCGAATTAAAGTCGTAGTGTAGACCAGGCCCAAGTGGAGTACTTTGCATTTGTCCTCATTGAATTTCATCCTATTTTCTTCAGACCATTTCTTCAGTTTGTCCAGATCATTTCGAATTTTAATCCTATCCTCCCTCTCAAATTGCTATCATCTGCAAACTTTATAAGTGTACTCTCTATGCCATTATCTAAATCACTGATGAAGATATTGAACAGAAATGGACCCAGAATTGATTCCTGCAGGACCCCACTCGGTATGCCCTTCCAGCTTGACTGTGAACCACTGATAACTAAGGCTCCATGTCTCTCATGGAGGTCACGGATTCCATGACTTTCCATGACCTCCATGACTTTTGCAGCAGCCCGTGTGCCTGGCTGAGGGGCTACCCGAACACTTAGGCAGCAGCAGGGCCAGCAACAGTTTGGGTGTGGGAGGGGGCTCAGGGCTGAGGCGGGGGTTGGGGTGTGGGGCGGCGCTCACCTGGTGGGGAGGCTCTCCGGAAGTGCCCGGCATAACCCTGCAACTCCTGACCTAGGCGGAGGGACCAGGGAGCCCTTGCTTGCTTGCAGGCACCACCCCCTCAGTTCCCATTGGCTGCGATTCCTGGCCAATCGGAGCTGCAGAACCGGAGCTCAGCGAGGGCAGCGTGCGGAGCCCCCCGGCGTTCCCTCCCTCTAGGAGCTGCAGGGACATGCACAGCCAGGTAAGGAGCCTACTAGCCCCGCCAACCCTTCTCCCCACCCGGGCCCCCATCCCAGCACCAGCCAGGGTCCTATGCATGTACCACCGCCCGCCCCAGTGCCAGCAGGGATCCCGGACAGCACACAACCGCCTGCTTCTCTTCCCCCCAGCGCCAGCGAGGGTCCCGGGCTGCGCACTGCCACCCGGCCCTCCCAGCACCAGCAGGGGTTCCAGGCCACACCGCCCAGCACCCGCGGTGGCCCCTAGACTGCCCCCGCCCCCAGAGCACCCAGGAGACCCAGCCCATGTTTTAGTTATGGGTAAATAGTACAAGTCATGGACAGGTCATGGGCCGTGAATTTTTGTTTATAGCCTGTGACCTGTCCATTACTATTACTAAAAATACCCATGACTAAAACGTAGCCTTACTGATAACTACTCTCTGGGAACAGTTGTGCATCCACCTTATAGTAGCTCCATCTACATTGTATTTTCCTAGTTTGTTTATGAGAAGGTCATGCGACACAGTATCAAAAGCCTTACTAAAATGAAGATATATCACATCTACCGCTCCCCCATCCACAAGACTTGTTCCCCTCTCAAAGAAAACTATTAGGTTGGTTTGACATGATTTGTTCTTGACAAATCTATGCTGATTGTTATTTATCACATTATCTTCTAGGTGTTTTCAAATTGATTGCTTAATTATTTGCTCCATTATCTTTCCAGGCACTGAATATGGGCTCCATTCTCAGACACATTCAGCTCACCGAAAAGCAATGGTGGGATTGAGGAGAGCAAGAGAGAACTGGATAGCAGGGAAATAATGCCCACATACCTACCAAACTACAGTCAACTCAGCTGATAGCTAACAAACCATCCCAAAACCTAGAAAAACCACTGAGCACAAAACCCCTATGAAATCCAAGCAATATTATATACAAGAATTAAACTCCAAAAAGTATACAAAGCAAACCTACAGATCCCCGCTACAGCAAACTTAATACAACACACTAAATTATAATTAACAGCATGAATGATACCAGTCACCTACATGGCGCTAACAATAGAGAAGTAAACCAATCCAGCCACACAACCAGAAAAAGTACACACCATAGAGAGAGAAAAAGGGGAGAAGAGAGCAACAGAAAAGGTTATAAATATTGAAAGGGTTAAGAAAGCAGTCTTAAAAACTACAGAGACCCCGGAGCAGCAACCTGCACGATTCTGAAGGAACAACAAACATTTCTATGTGGAAGGGAAGTTGTCAACATTTGATGAGGCAATAGACAGAAACCCTCCTGGACTATCTGGAGGAAACGTACTTCTCACCTATTTTTTATTATTAGTGTCATTATTTGTTCTCCAATAAATGCCCATAATGTGCTAGCTGCTATCCAAGCACACAGGACATCATTCTTCAAAATCTGCGCTGAAGAGTTCACAATCTAAATTCTTCAATTTCTGGGGTATTAATCAGTGGGAGTGGTGCTTGTAAACAATGTCCATCTTTAACCTTCCCCCTAGGAGCTTCCTCTCGGGTATTCATTTCAATAGCATCAGTTTTTTTCATATCTGCACCTTAAGAACATACCTTTTTCATATCTGCAGCCCACAAAACAAGGTAGCAGCAATGAGGGTATTAAAATGTTCACAGATTATATTCTCATTTGGAGTGCCCCAGAACAAGAACTCATGTCAGGCTTGCACAAGTTCTTCAGATTGCTAGAGACAATGGACTGAAACTGAATAAAGCAAAATGCCAATTTCAGAAAAAAGAACTGTTGAATTTGGAGGAATTTCTCTCAGAAAATTGGGTTGCCAGATCCTGCAAAAATACATGTTATCCAGAGGAAGCTCAACTACAGAAGATCACATCAAAGTAGACAATCTTAAAACATACAGCTATTTTTGTCATATCAGATATCCCTAAAATAGAGAGGGCCTCAGTTTATTAGTAAAGATTTTAAGACCTTCACACCAGATTATGGAATTGAACATTTTACCTCCAGTCCTAAATATCCACCGAGTAATGGACTGGCAGAATGGGGAGTTAAAATTGTTAAGTTGCTAAAAAAGGCTAGAAATGCAATGGACCCACTTATTGCCTTTTTCAACTACATGGCAACACTGTATGTTCCACTGCTGGCTCTATTTCCCCTTCCTTGTTACCCACACCACTCTACAGCTCCCTGCAGCTCTACCTACTCCTTTCCCCATCTCCACCCCAACCTCCCCTCCACTCTCCAACACTACCACCTACCCACACTCACAGTCCTCTTTGCCCTGCTGCACCCAATCCCTACGATAGGTGCTGTCCTATCCTCCATAATGACAGATTTTGTGGAAGCCACCCTCAAACTCTTCAGAATTCGTGAGCAGGCTACAGGGGCTTTCAAGCAAACATCAGGGCTGCCAGCACAAAAGATTCTGGGGCTCTTATTTTCCCTGCTCCTCTTTCCCTCTAGGTTGTTTCATACTTCCCTTTCCTTCTTAGTGATTTTGTTTTCATTTCTTCCCCCTTTGTCCCTTTTCTGCCATGTTTGCCCTTCTCTACCCTATCTTTTTGCCTCTTTTTTTTTTTGGCCTCTCCACATGTAAAAAGGCTGCAGAAGGAAATTAGCTGTCAGTTATAGTTATGCTCCTCACTCCTGATCCACAACACCCCTTTCTCTTCCACACCTGGTCTTCCCACATCTCGGCCAATGTCTTTCACTCCTGATCACTGCCTCCCTGTTTGGATGCTCATGGATGTACTTTTGCTTTACCTTTGCTTGTAGCTTCTGCACAAGCACTGCCTGTCTATGTTGTGCCTCTTGGGAGCTCTGCAGCTTGCGTTGATAGGATGCCTGACTTTCCACCATCTGTTGACGAAGTGTCACTATCTGCTCCTCGGGCAGTAACTGCAATGTCTGCAGTTTCATGCTGCTCACCTCCTGGTCTCCTGCCTCCATCTGAGGATCAAAGAATGATATAATGGTAATACAGGAAGAGGATAATGGCCCTGCAGTAAGTCAGATGCCTAGGCTGTTGTCAGAAGCAGAGAAGAGGATGAAGAAGACTGAAACTAATCAGATCTGCCTGCCTATTGGATCTGGCTGTGACTCTAGCAAGACATCCATAGTATCCAATCAGGAGGCTCCTGCACTGGAATAAGCTGAACAGAGCAAGCTACAGTGTCTGGACTAGTCTGATAAGCAGCATGCCCCAGAATAGCCTGGCACCTGATCTGGACCAGAGGTTCACCAGTATTTAGCAGCAAGATTACTCTAGGAGTAGGAGGCAGCCTTACAGGCGGCAGCGCAAGGTGCAGCCTTCTCACAGCCACTGCCAAATGTCCGGCAGCAAATTCCAGTCCCGAGAGCAGCTCCCAGACATACCACCACCTCCTTGCTAGGTCCATGCAAGTGAGGGAGCGAAAGAGCCGGATAGAAGTGGGCGTGGGCAGTGCATCTCCCGCCTCTGTCACCCACCTGGCCCCTTGGTACATCTTCTGCCTCTGTCGACCCCCTGGCGCGTCTCCCGCCTCTGTCCCCCGATGAATCTCCTGCCACTGTCACCCTCCCGACCCACTGGTGCAGCCCCACCCTGCCACTGTCACATACACACACCCATCATGCCTCCAGACACTGTCAACCCCGCCCGCCGGGTGTCTCCGGCCACTGCCAACCCCCAGGCGCGTCTCCAGCCACTGTCACACACACCCCAGCACGTCTCCGGCCACTGTCAACCCCCCAGTGCGTCTCCGGCCACTGCCACACATACCC